AGAAGTTGTCCGTGCTGATGGATGAGAGCCCGTCTGGCACCAGTCCCACCTGCACCAACAGCCACCCTGCCGAGCTGCTCCCCATCGAGCTGGACGAGATGGTGGGCAAAGGGCAGTTTGCGGAGGTGTGGAGGGCCAAGCTGAGCCACAGCCGCTCGGGGCAGTACGAGACGGTGGCCGTGAAGATCTTCCCCTGTGAGGAGTACTCCTCCTGGAAGAACGAGAGCCAGATCTTCACCGACGCCAGCCTCAAGCATGACAGTGTCCTGCGGTTCCTCACCGCTGAGGACCGGGGCGCGGGGCCCCGCCGGGAGTACTGGCTTATCACCGCCTACCACAGCCGGGGCAACCTCAAGGACTACCTCTCCCGCCACATCCTGAGCTGGATGGACCTCCAGAAGATGGCAGGCTCCCTGGTGAGCGGGGTGGCCCACCTCCACAGCGACTACACTACCTGTGGCAGGCCAAAAATCCCCATCGCCCACCGGGATATCAAAAGCACCAACGTCCTGGTGAAGAGCGAGCAGGAGTGCGTGCTCTGCGACTTCGGCATCGCCATTCGCCTCGACCCTTCCCTGACAGTAGATGACTTTGCAAACAGCGGGCAGGTGAGTATGACATGCTGGCCCTTTGCAAACCACCCCTGGTCGCCCCACAGCCAAAGTCCTTGCCCACCCCTGCTAACACCTCCCTTCTCTTTGCGAGCAGGTGGGCACCGCCAGGTACATGGCCCCAGAGGTCCTGGAGTCCAGAGTGAACCTAGAAGACCTGGAGTCTTTCAAGCAGATGGATGTCTACTCCATGGCCCTTGTTTTGTGGGAAATGGCCTCCAGATGTGAAGTGGTAGGAGGTAGGAGCATTGCACTGGGGTTGCCACACACCTTTTTGCTCCCTTCCTCCCCATACAGGGACACGGCTCGCCCTCGTGTTCCCAGCAGTGGCACAGGACCTGCTTTGGGGTGGCTTGGGTCTCTGCAGGGCTGCTAAGAGCTGGTGGCAGATCCTCCCCCATGGTTGCTGGCCCTGCGTGCCGCAACTCAAGGGAGTCAGCTCAGTGGCTGAGGAGCAGGATG